TTAGATCATGCTTATAAAAAGTCTAAAAATACAGTTTAAAAGAATATTAAACGTTTTGAAATGTTTGGTAGTAGATCCAAGCAAAAGTGTATTTGCAAATTTTATAATGTCTAAGTATGCATTGTTATAAAACATGACTTTACTTAGAGATTTGGGACCTTATTTAAAGGAATATGTAAAGAAACAATACAAAGAAGGTAAATTTCAAGAGCATGTCCAATATTGGGGTAGACAATACATAGCCTTAGAAAAGATAGTTAATAACAAAAATTTTAAGAAATATAAATTTCTTCTTCTGATCCCAATGCTTGTTGGCGTCAGATAAATCTATTCCTATTCCTCCTAATTCCTTTATATCTGCTAGAGTCTTTCCTCTCTTCTTCCCAACTTCTGCCATTCTTTCCTCCCACTTTTTCCTAGGTGTTCTTTTTCTTATCCTTTTTCTTTGCTTCAAATACCGTTTTTACTATTGTGTTATTTTCATTCTAATTATGTGGGCTTGCCAGTTTAGTTGTTTTCTCTCTATTTTGCTGATTATCTCCTCTTGATCTACTTCCAGTCATATTTCCTCATTCCTTATCCTATTCCACTTCGCCTTCCCCACTATTTTCCGTAAAAATTTCATTTGCATTGCTGTGATCTTTCCTGCTTGTTTATCTTGGAGTGTCCATGATTCACTGGCATATGTTAATATTGGGACTACCACCGAATTGTACACTTTCAATTTTATCTTTGTATCTATCTCCTTCTTCCCAAAAATTATTCTGTTTAGAGTATGACATATGTTGTGTGTTTTCCTTATTCTTACATTTATGTCTAAATCTATCCTTCAATCTTGTGATATTATGCTGCCCAAGTACTCATATGATGATACTTCTTCTACCTTTTGTTCAATTGCTTCTTTTCAATTTCTTCTGTCCATATTCCAACTAACTTTTTGCTTTTTTATGGTTCGTTTTTATAGTAAATTATCTATTTTTACTGGTTCCACACTTTTATAACCTATTACTTACTGTTTGATATTTATTTGTTCTAGTTCTAGTCTAACTAGGCTATAGGCTTGTTTTATTCCCTTGCTCATTTCAAAAGTGTTTGATGTCTCTTCATTTGTACTATGCTCTTGATTTCCTGTACCGATTTTCAATTATTTTTGTTAGTCTTTGTGGTACCATTAGTTCTTCTAGACATTTCCATATAATACTACGGTTAACCATGTCAAAAGCTGCTTTTAGGTCAAAAATATTAGATATAGTTCATTGCCCGTCTCTATTTTCAAAAAAATAATATAAACTAGTTTTGAATTCGTCCGCAATAGGATTAACTACGGAATTTTGGAAACTTCAAAAAACATTGAAATTATTGAAGATGTGTTAAAACAATAAGAATCAAGTAAAATTTAAAAATGGTTTATTTTTATACTTTTATTTCTTATAAAATACATTATAAAATTATGTCAACATTATTATATAATTTTTAAAAAAGTCCTTCAATTTCTCCAGTTTCTGTATTTAAATCAATATCGAAAATGGAAGGTCTAGTTGGTAATCCTGGCATTCTTGTAATCTAAAAGAAAAGTATTAATTTATTTAAAAAATTAAATTAAATTAAAAAGAACCTCTCCGCAAATTGGAATAATAAATCCAGCACCAACAGAAATTGAAATATCATTAATTTTTAAAGTAAAATCAGGTGGTGCGCCTTTAATACTTGGATCACCAGTTAATGAGAGAGGCGTTTTTGCCATACAAATTGGAAGTTTATCAAAACCCTATAAAAAAATAAACATAGAAAGATGTCTTAATGTATTTACTTTATAAATCAATTTTTACTTGTTCAGTGTATTTCTTAATAGATTCCATAACTTTTTCAGAATACTCGACATTTCCAGCTCCATACATTTCTTTAGCTATAGCGAAAATTTTTTCTTCAATTCCCATATTAACATCATACAAAAATTTAAATGAATTTTGAGTTTCACAAGCTTTTATAACCGCATCGGCTAAACCAACAGCTCCAGCTCCTCCTTCAGCCCAATGATTACAAACAACAGCATCAAAAGCTCCATTTTTAACAGCAGCCTCTTTAACTAATTCAAGTTCGCCATCGGTATCAGTAGCATGTTTATTTATCGCTACAATTACAGGAACACCATGTTTATTTCCATTATTAATATGTTTAATTAAATTTTGTAATCCATTCTTTAAGAGAAGAATATTTTCTTGAGTATACTCCGGTTTTAATGGAGCTCCTGGAGTCACTGCAGGTCCACCTCCATGCAGTTTTAAAGCACGAATAGTTGCAACTAAAACAACTGCGTTTGGGATTAAACCAGAAGCTCTGCATTTGATGTTAAAGAACTTTTCCATTCCAATATCGGAACCAAGTCCAGCTTCTGTGACAACGTAACCTTTTTCACCAACTAATTTCAAAGCGATTTGATCCGCGATTATTGAAGAACAACCATGGGCTATATCCGCAAACGGTCCGGCATGAACTAAAACCGGCGTTCCTTCTAAAGTTTGCATTAATGTTGGATCAATAGCATCTTTCATTAAAACACTTAAAGCTCCGGTCATTGCTAAGTCATCAGCAGTAACCGGCTTATTATTTTTATCAAAAGCAACAACCATTTTACTAAGACGTGTATAAAAATCAGTTAAATCTTTTGATAACGCTAAAATGGCCATTATTTCACTAGCTCCTGTAATCATAAAACTAGATTCCCGAGTAAGATTCTTTTCAGTTGGCGATTGTCCAATTGTAATTTTTCTTAGAAAACGATCGTTTATGTCAATAACGCGATTCCAAACGATGTTATTTGTATCGATGTTTAAACGGGCGAATTTCACTTTTTCTTCATCTGTTAAATCATTTGGATCGATTTTTTTAATACCCAACCTTTCAAGTCTTCTCAATTGAATATNTAGGTATTACTCCCTTCAATAATTTACTATTGCGTCCAACATGTTCTTTAGCAAAATGCTTTCCACAAATACGAAAATTTCTATAAATTCTCATATCGTCATATTCCCACAATTCTTCCCGTCCACTTCGTTCAATCCACTTTTGAAATATTTGTGGATATAGTTTTGGGTTTGGAAATCGGTGAAATGTTCCATACCGTTCTCTGCATTCACCCATAGCACAATTCCTACCAGCCATTTTCTATTGAAAGAGATACACATGTTTAAGTCATTTTTAAGTACATTTATAAAAAAGAAAACTCCTAATTAAATGTACTTACCACAAATAAAACTTCGTAAAATAAAGTCTTTAATAAAACAGATGGCAACAAATTCCTTAAAACACCGAAAACTCATCAAATAAATCGTTCTAAAACATCAAGTTACACCAACAACGTAGAGAAACCAAATCATAACGAAATTCGATTCAAAACATGACAAAACATCGGGCTGTCATTGTCATTAAAACAAAATTTTCTTAAATCATCGCTAAAGTAGGTAACGATTATAACTACATTAGCGCCATCTAACACCATAGCTTTATACTAATTAAGTGCCAAGGATATGTTGAACTGTCAGTTTGAAAACGAGCATCTTTAACCTATACAAATAGATAACTATCTTCTAAAGGTATTAAAACACATTAACATAAGAATTTAATTAGTAAAATAGGAAAACCATGTCCTAAATAGACTTTAGGTAGCCAAAATTTCAGTGGGAAGTCGAAAATGTGATAAAATGGAATACAGAATACATCTAAAATTTCACCTTGATTATGTTTGGAGATTGAGGAAAAAATCATAAAGTTCATACTTTAAATAATTTGTTAATAAATATGTGATAATCAACAATGCTCCATATCATTTTCAAGTAGATAAAGGTCCATCTTTCTGTATGAAAAGAATGATAAGAAAATGATTAATTAAAAATAATATAGGTTTTGAATCACTGTGAGGAATTTATAAAAAAGTTAGTAGAACATTAAAGGGAATTCAACAATAATTGATTTATAGATTAACTGAAGGAAGACTCACGATCAGATTCTTTCAGTAACTACGACTTCTAAGGAAAACATTTAATTGAAATCCATTTAGATCATGCTTATAAAAAGTCTAAAAATTCAGTTTAAAAGAATATTAAACGTTTTGAAATGTTTGGTAGTAGATCCAAGCAAAAGTGTATTTGCAAATTTTATAATATCTAAGTATGCATTGTTATAAAACATGACTTTATTTCGAGATTTGGGACCTTATTTAAAGGAATATGTAAAAAAACAATACAAAGAAGGTAAATTTCAAGAGCAAGTCCAATATTGGGATAGACAATACATAGCGTTAGACAAGATAGTTGATAACAAAAATTTTAAGAAATATAAACTTCTTCTCCTGATCCCTATGCCTCTTGGCGTCAGATGTATCTGTTCCTATTCCTCCTAATTCCTTTATATCTGCGTCTTTCCTCTCTTCTTCCCAACTTCTGCCATTCTTTCCTCCCACTTCTTCGTAGGTGTTCTTTTTCTTATCCTTTTTCTTTGCTTCAAATACCTTTTTTACTATTGTGTTATTTTCATTCTAATTATGTGGGCGTGCCAGTTTAGTTGTTTTCTCTCTATTTTGCTGATTATCTCCTCTTGATCTACTTCCAGTCATATTTCCTCATTCCTTATCCTATTCCACTTCGTCTTCCCCACTATTTCCCGTAAAAATTTCATTTCCATTGCTGTGATCTTTCCTGCTTGTTTATCTTGGAGTGTCCATGATTCACTGGCATATGTTAATATTGGGACTGCCACCGAATTGTACACTTTCAATTTTATCTTTGTATCTATCTCCTTCTTCCCAAAAATTATTCTGTTTAGAGTATGACATAGGTTGTGTGTTTTCCTTATTCTTACATTTATGTCTAAATCTATCCTTCCATCTTGTCATATTATACTCAGGTTCTACCCTACTCATATGATGATAATTCTACCTTTTGTGCAATTTCTTCTGTCCATATTTCAACCAACTTCCTTGCCTTTTTATGGTTCGTTTTTATAGTAAATTATCTATTTTTACTGGTTCCACACTTTTATAACCTATTACTTACTGTTTGATATTTATTTGTTCTAGTTCTAGTCTAACTAGGCTATAGGCTTGTTTTATTCCCTTTCTCATTTCAAAAGTGTTTGATGTCTCTTCATTTGTACTATGCTCTTGCCTTTCCTGTACCGATTTTCAATTATTTTTGTTAGTCTTTGTGGTACCATTAGTTCTTCTAGACATTTCCATATAATACTACGGTTAACCATGTCAAAAGCTGCTTTTAGGTCAAAAATATTAGATATAGTTCATTGCCCGTCTCTATTTTCAAAAAAATAATATAAACTAGTTTTGAATTCGTCCGCAATAGGATTAACTACGGAATTTTGGAAACTTCAAAAAACATTGAAATTATTGAAGATGTGTTAAAACAATAAGAATCAAGTAAAATTTAAAAATGGTTTATTTTTATACTTTTATTTCTTATAAAATACATTATAAAATTATGTCAACATTATTATATAATTTTTAAAAAAGTCCTTCAATTTCTCCAGTTTCTGTATTTAAATCAATATCGAAAATGGAAGGTCTGGTTGGTAATCCTGGCATTCTTGTAATCTAAAAGAAAAGTATTAATTTATTTAAAAAATTAAATTAAATTAAAAAGAACCTCTCCGCAAATTGGAATAATAAATCCAGCACCAACAGAAATTGAAATATCATTAATTTTTAAAGTAAAATCAGTTGGTGCGCCTTTAATTGTTGGATCACCAGTTAATGATAGCGGCGTTTTTGCCATACAAATTGGAAGTTTATCAAAACCCTATAAAAAAATAAACATAAAAAGATGTCTTAATGTATTTACTTTATAAATCAATTTTTACTTGTTCAGTGTATTTCTTAATAGATTCCATAACTTTTTCAGAATACTCGACATTTCCAGCTCCATACATTTCTTTAGCTATAGCGAAAATTTTTTCTTCAATTCCCATATTAACATCATACAAAAATTTAAATGAATTTTGAGTTTCACAAGCTTTTATAACCGCATCGGCTAAACCAACAGCTCCAGCTCCTCCTTCAGCCCAATGATTACAAACAACAGCATCAAAAGCTCCATTTTTAACAGCAGCCTCTTTAACTAATTCAAGTTCGCCATCGGTATCAGTAGCATGTTTATTTATCGCTACAATTACAGGAACACCATGTTTATTTCCATTATTAATATGTTTAATTAAATTTTGTAATCCAT